TTTCCACTTCCTTACCTGTCCTGGGGGGCCCTAGTCACTCAGTTCCTCTTTATTCTACTCTTCTCAAGCCCTGATACACTCAGTGGTTGCCCTTCGGAGATTGTGGCACGTTAGACGTATTTTTCTAGACTTGAACAAGGACTTAACTTTATCAGAGGGCAGGGAAAGGCTCCAAAGTCACAGTACATCTAAGTTGTACTCTGTACAATCCCACATCTGCACCATGCCCCGTTCATTCCTGCTTGGACCTTCTCTAGGAGCACCCTGGCTTCCTTTAGTGTCTTTTTTTTTTTTTTTGTACCGGGGATTGAACTTGGGTCCTTGTGTTTGTGAGGCAGGCGGCAGAACCACTGAGCTAAATCCCCAGCTCTCCTCTAGTGTCTGACTTTTCTTTTTTCATTTTTCCTTTACTTCCAGTTTGAGATTGCCTCCTTTCTTTTTTTCTTTTTGGTACTGGAGATCGAACTCAGGACCTTGAGCTTGCCAGGTAGATGTGGCACAATTGAGCTACATGCCTGGCCTTAGATTGCATATTTTCCATCTTCGAGGAACTTCATTTTTTTTTTTCCTTTTCAATTATTTCTTTTAAAAAAAATGTTTTTCTGTTATTTTAATGGCAGTGGTAAATGCCCATGCTTCACTTGCCACCTAAAACCTGAGGCCTGTGAACTCCATTTTGAAGGACGAGTAGGCAGTATGTATTACTCGGTGATAATGGCTGAGGAATATGGGGGAACATTAGAGGCCAATGGAATAGTGTGTTTAAAGGCACAGAATAATACTAGAGCCTAAAACATTTGAAGAAGGCTGAGAAGTGTGTCAGGGCCAGAGCCACAGGGACTGAACAAGAAATACATGTTTCAGGGCCGGGGATTTGGCTCAGTGGTTCCGCCACCTGCCTCACAAGAGCAAGGGCCCAAGTTCAATCCCTGGTACCAAAAAAAAAAGCATGTTTCCCCAACTCTTAGAACCAGATATGGGCATTTGCCAGAACTGTGGGCTGTGTCTCAGATGTCCCTGTTTGTGAAGAAAGTCACCAGCATGTTGTTGCCAGCTAGGGAAGAATCCATAGAGCTTGCGGACTTCGCCGCTGAGTATCCAGACAGCCGATGTAATGACAGCCAAGTCGCTGAGGACAGTTCCCCAAACCTTCTGTTTAACCTTCTTCAGTAGGGCCAGGAATCAACAGGTCCCAAGCCTAGCTAAGGATGAGAGGCAGAAGACCTTTTGGGGTGCCTTGAGTTGTACTGGGGTTCCGTAGCAAGCAACCCTGGAACCTGTGGGGGGACCCTGGGAAAGATACAGGGACCACAGTCCCCTGAGGGAATCCTGGGAGGGGAAGATTTACTTTAGATAGTAACCTTCTTCAGTAGGGCCAGGAATCAACAGGTCCCAAGCCTAGCTAAGGATGAGAGGCAGAAGACCTTTTGGGGTGCCTTGAGTTGTACTGGGGTTCCGTAGCAAGCAACCCTGGAACCTGTGGGGGGACCCTGGGAAAGATACAGGGACCACAGTCCCCTGAGGGAATCCTGGGAGGGGAAGATTTACTTTAGATAGACACAAAGAAAAAGAGCTAAGGATGAGAGGCAGAAGACCTTTTGGGGTACCTTGAGTTGTACTGGGGTTCCGTAGCAAGCAACCCTGGAACCTGTGGGGGAACCCTGAGAAAGATACAGGGACCACAGTCCCCTGAGGGAATCCTGGGAGGGGAAGATTTACTTTAGATAGACACAAAGAAATTTAGCACATCTCTAGTCAACATTTTGAAGGTCCCTCAAAGAATACAGATTTGCTTTATAAAAGTTGTCTTCATTTTGCAGAATAATTCCTGCGATGAGTTAAAATAACATGGATTCGAGACTGGGATTTAGCTCAGTGGCCTTCTGCCTGTCTTGCAAGTGCAAGGTCCTGAGTTTGATCCCTGGTACCAGAAAAAACAAAACAAAACATGGATTTATATTAGGACTTGATTTTCATACCACTTACCAAGAATATGTCCTTTGTGATATATCATGAATGCATAATAATATCTCATCGGTGCTTTTCTGCATGTCTGGTTTTCAAAAACTTGTTAGGCATCCACAGGATATTTTCCTACTCTGAGAAGTTTATGACAAGGCATTCAAGCTGACTCAGCACTCAAACTGATCTCACCAGATCAAAGTGAAAAACATGTAACTCTTATGATCAAAACAAAGGTATTTCTGTACTAAAATTGTCATCACTGTGGCTCATTTTTCAGTCATACGATTTCATTTAAGGACCTAGCCCTTGTGACATGCCAGACACTATTCTAAGCATTTTACTAATATTAACTCATTTATTTCTCCTGGCACTCAAGGAAGTAATACAAAATTTCCCCATTTTACAGCTAAGGAAACCAAGGTACAGAATGTTAAAATAACCCCACCATTTCAAATAAATTATAGAAGGGAGCAAGGATAACATTTCATATATATACAAAGAGGACTTCGGTTAAAACAGGTTGAGAAAAAAACAAACAAATAGGTCGAGGAAAACATTTATTTATTTGGTTTTTTGAGACAGGGTCTCACTATGTAGCCCAGGCTGGTCTTGAACTCACAGCAAGGTTTGAGGAAAACATTTAAAGTGAGGTGTGGCTTGTAGCTATCCAGGCTAATGACTAGGAAACTATTAACAGTAGTGAAAACTGGGTGCGGTGGCACGCACACAGCTGTAATTTTAGCACTTGGGAAGCTAAGGCAGGAGGATTGCCACAAATTTAGGGCCAGTCTGGACTACATAGTGAATTCAAGGACAGTGTGAACTACATAGCAAGACCCTATCTCAAACAAACAGTAGTGAAGTCTTGCTGTCTGCATCCATAGCAAACACAGAGGCAGTAGGGATTGAGTCTTTTTTTTTTTTTTTTTTTTTTTTTTTTTTTTTTTAAACCACTGAACTAAATCCCCAGTCCTGGCCGGGTGTGGTGGCGCACGCCTATAATCCCAGCACTTGGGAGGCTGAGGCAGGAGGATTTCTGTGAGTTCGAGATCAGCCTGCACTACATAGTGATTTCCAGGTCAATCTCAACTACATAGTGAGACCCTGTCTCAACAAAACAAAACAAAACAAAAAAATCCCCAGCCTTTGAAGATTGATGGTGACTCACAGTTGAGCACCCCACAGACTATGTAGTGTTGAACAAGTCACTGGTTATCTGTGGGTCTCGGTCACTCATCTCAGATAGGGATTGGTAAATGTTATCTATTAGTTAGTTATTCAACCACTTAGCTATTGCTTTGTAATCAACCCTAAAATTAGTCATTTAAACAACCATTCTTTATTCTCTCTCTCTCTCTCTCTCTCTCTCTCTCTCTCTCTCGTTTGAGACAGGGTCTTGCTATGTAGTCCAGGCTGGCCTTGAACTTGCAGCAATACTCTTGCTTCAGACTCCCAAGTGCTGGGATTACAGATGTGCACAACTGCACCCATTCTTTATAATCTGAGAATACAAGTTGGCTGGTGGTTCTACTGAGCTCAGCTAGGCTTGGTGAGACTCACACATGTACCTGTAGTCGGCGGCTCTGCTCAGCTGGCTCTCTCACCTGGGGAGGGGGCTAAGCAGGAGTAGCTGGGCAGGTAGGTTCCTGCCTACATGGCTTCTCATCTCTGGCAGCTTGGGCTTGTTCTCACGACCGTGGCAGGGTTCCAGGAGAGAGAAATAGAGAAATACGAACTCGCTAGCCTATCTGTGCTGCTATAACAAAATACCTGAGCCCAGGTAACTTATAAAGAAGAACAGTTTTATTTCCTGATGTTAGAGACCGGGAAGTCAAAGACTTGTTGTCTGGTAAAGGCTCACTCTTTGGTATGTGGTCCTTTGTTGCTGTACGCGCACATGACAGAATCGGCAATGATATTTTATTTTTTCAACACTGGGGATTAAATTCAGGGCCTTTGTGCTACCAGGTTTTTGGGTTGCTGGAGTCTCTGGGAGTAGCTTCTAGGTTCTTTCTGTCCTGAGCAGAGTTGGTCAAGACAAGCACAAATGATAGCAAAGTTTTATTAAAGATAGGAAAAGAAACAGGCCCTGCGAAATGAGTTTGAGTCAAATAAAAGTAGGAAAAGAAGTGCACCCCACAGTGTGAAGGGAGACAACCACACGAGGGAGAGCGTGGGGCAAAAACTCAATGCCGACAATGATTTCGTATCATCCACGCCTCGGCCTGATGTCACATCTAGGCCATCCCACTGGACACCTGCCTGAGTTCTCCAAAGAAGTCCATGTGCAGGGCTTTGGAACTGCGCTGAGCATGTATTGGGGGATCTTGTCACGCCTCCTCTCACAGCCAGTTTTAGCCATGTCCTTTCTGTCCCATTTGCACTGAGCTACACCCTCAGCCCCCTCCCTTTTTTGGATTTTTGCGACAACATCTTGTTATGTAGCCCAGGCTGGCCTTAAACTCATAGTGGTCCTCTTGTCTCAGCCTCTCAAGGGCTGAGATAATAGGTGTGCACCACCGTGCCCAGCTCCCATCCCTTTTTTATATTTTATTTTATTTGTATTATTTGGTACCAAGGCTCAAACTCAGGACCTTGCGCTTGTGAGGCTGGTGGCGGCACCACTGAGCTAAATCCCTGGCTATATTTTATTTTTATTTATTTATTTATTTGGTACTGGGGATCGAATTTGGGTCCTTGTGCTTGTAAGGCAGGTGCTGGAACCGCTGAGCTAAATCTCTGGGCCCCTGGCCGTATTTTATTTTTGAGTGAGGATCTTGCTGAATCGCTAAGTTACCCAGGCTGGGCTTTTTTGTTTTTATTTGTTTTCCCCTGTGCTGTGGATTGAACCCAAGGACTACACATGTTGGGCAAGTGCTTCATTACTAGGTCACAGTCCAGTCCTAGCCCTTTTTGAAAAAAAATAAAGTCATTAATCCTGTTCACGAGGGCAGAGTCCTTCCGATCACTTTTTCCAAGAGCCCCACCTTCTATCTCCTTGGTAACTAGTTTCAACACAGGCGATTTTGGAGCGAGCATACATTCAGACCACAGCAGTTCCTTAGAGGAGGGCTGTGTCTCTCTCCCCTTCCCTGCAGTTGGCCCCTGGGAAGGGCTCGTTGAAGGGAAAGGAAAGGGAGAAGCAGAGCGATTACAGTTCCTATCCCCACAAAGACTTCAAAACCCGCTGGGATGCAGCGGCTATCTCCCTTCTGCATGCTCTCCTCCCCTGGGCAGCCCAGCCTCCACCTCTCAGGGAGTTTGAGAATGAGCTGCCTGTCTTCCCACTGGACAGCTCAAGACTTGGTCCACGCAGGAGAACTAAAGGTGTGGTGTGCCAGACCCCAGAGAAGCCTTCTTGAAAACACAGATCAGGAAGAAGCTGGAAAACCAGCCCCACTGGATCTTCTGATGGGGTTATTCTATCTCTCCAGGCCTCAGCCTCAGCGCCTCTTCATTCCTCCCTCACACTGGATTGCATCACATTGCTGCTCAAGATACAGTAAGGTAATGGTTTTTGAGCCTTAACAACGGGAGAGGAGCTTGTTTAATGTTTACAACAATTCTGTGAGGTAGTAACTAGTATTATCTCCATTTTGGAGAAACTGAGGTACAAAAGGTTAATGCAGTTTATTCAAGGTTACACAAGGAGTGGCAGAATTAGGGTTTTAACTCAAGCAGCCTACAGCGTAGGCCTGGACCGTTTAGTAAACTAGTTGAAACCCAGCGAATGACAGAGCCTCTCTGGGAGGGGGTGCAACTGCTGAGTCCTAACAGCTGACAGGAAGTGTCTATAAAGGAAGCCTGCTGTTTTCCTCCCCAACTCAGTTCCTACAGACCAAGAATACTTTCTCAATTAGAAAACACAATTTGATTCCACTTCTGCCTGACACCTACATTATAGTTTTCTCTAGTCTATCAATTTGCCTCTCCCCATTCCTTCATTTTTCATAAAGTAACTGTTGCATGTGCACAGATATACATATATATATTTTGTTACCAGGAATGGAACCCAGAACCTTGTGCTTGCCAGACTGAGCTAAATGCCTGGCCTCCAGACATATTTTTTTAAAACTGAAAGGTAAATGGTATGTTTTGGTTGACATCAAATGGAGAAGAGGTGGGGGAAGATACTTGTTTTGTGAAAACACCTTCTCTTCTCCCTTAGTGGCATGTTCAGTAAGCTCTCATTTTTTTAGTCCAGTAACCTATTATGCTCCTCTTTTGAGACAGGTTTTCAGAGGTGAACTTATTGTTTTAGCAACAAAAACAGTATTAAAATTGTAAGACTTGAATAAGCTAAGGTGACTCCATGCTAATAGGCCAGACTGTGCTTCTTCATATGCTAATTGCTACCTTGGTTAACAGCCCGCCCAGGGGCAAATGGTATGACAAAAGGTGACCATGAACATTTCCTGCATAAGATAAGCAATGTGTTTGCAGTCTTGTTCTGTGAATTCCCCGACTCTTTGTTCAGAAAAACCTTATAAAAAGTACCTCAGCCCCTGAGCAGTTGCCTCTCTGAGCTACCTGGCTCCCGGAGTGCCGTCTGGCCCGACTAATAAAGGTCTATTTACCATCTAGCCTGGTGTGTTCCTTCCTGGGTTTCTCGTTTCTCCGTTGAGCTCCTGGAGCCTCGCTGGGTGTTAGGGCCCGGCATCGTGGAGGACTTTTTGGCTGTTCACGCTCCGTGGAGTGGAAGTGAGACTTTAAGTCTTACAAAAATCACTTCATACCTTGTTCAATAGAGAAGTTTAATGTTTTTTACTTATGTAAAACCAAGGTCAGTTCCATAACTTTTATTTTAAGTAAGTTTTCTGGGTGTAGCTGCTACTTGTTACTTTGGTCTGAGGTGGGGATAAATTAACGCTAGCTTTGGCTTAGACCTGAGTTTGAACTCTCACTCTGCCACACATGTAGCCCACATATTATTTAACCCTATCCTCAGTTACTGCGCCAGTAAATGGAGAATAAAAATACCTTTCTACGGCAAAGGGGAGAACTGACAAGATAAGCACATGAAATTCTGTGCGAGAGGCCGTGGCAGTAGTTTTTTGTGTGTGAAATTACTGGGAAAGGTGCCACGTCCCAAGACTCCGGGTCAGGTAGAATTCTCCAGCCTGATGAGTCTGAAATCCAGGGGAGGACCTTTCCCAGTCTGTGGGAAGTGGCTGAGGAAATGGACAAGCAATGGGCAACTTGGGCTATGAAGAGGAGCCCAGGGTGAGAGGCAAGGCGTCCAGGCCTTGGGGAAATAAGAGGGGGCAGCAGATGGCCGCCCCAGAAAAACTTCCAGGGTCTGTCCCGGGCTGGCGCCCCAGAAGCTCTGCGCTGCGGAGAGGATGCCCTTAGGCGCTCGGTTCCCCAAGAAAGATGCTGCTTCGGTGTACGCAGAGGTTAATCAGGCCCGCGAACCCAGTCTGTGGCTGCTGCCGGTCCTCCGGGCCCGCGTGTCCCGCGGCTGGCGTTGGAGGGGGTGGCCCCAGCGGGTAGCTGCTGAATCGCCG